TGAGCTGAAGTCCAAAATAAAGAGTACCCTTCAAGTGGATTCAAGTGGATCATTTTAAATTAGAAAAGCCCTTAAGTAGAGAATATAGGTGGAGAACTTGAGAGCAAGTAATTGCTTTTAAGATGGGGAGTTGTAGGGGCCTTTGTAACCCAATTTATGACTATTGGTCCACTTGTTAGCGAATGTGAGGTCCTCTTTTCTGAAACTATTTTGTACTTGGCACTTGGGTTCAACTTTGGGCTTTAGACCGATGACAAAGTGTTGGGCCACTATAGTAACAAGTTTGAATTCACCTTGGGTCTAAAAAATATAAATCAAGTGAAACTCCATCTAAGGTACAGTTAATTTATTCTTAAAGTGGTGGTTCAATAATTAAAAATTTGAGATTTCAAGTTGAAAATTAAAGTTGGAACCTTGAGTCAGGCGAGAAGGGATTTAGAGAAAAGAGAGTGCTATCATTTCTTATATAACCCATCATTATTAAATATACCCAAAAAAAAAAAGTTAATCGGAAGTTTGTTTGCTCTCCTCCTCCTATTACTTTCTCTTGTACATGGTAAGCCTCCTCTTACTTGTACATGGTAGGAAACAAACCTAACTGTGTGACAAACTCATACTTTTGGGTCTTCTCTTCTCATATGAAGCCTCCCTCTTCTTGTTTTTCTGCTACTTCTCTTATGATTGGATCTTAAGGCATATGGTCATTGCAACTTGATGGTAAGGCTATCAGTGGGTGGGGACTATTGATAGCTTAAATGCCTGTTCTCCCTAAGAAGTTGGCATAGAATTGAGAATGTCTAGTAACTAAGGATGCTCGCAGGGACTTTCTTTTTACGTTTGTAGCTCTATTTATGCCCCTATAACAATCGCCAGCATAATCTCTAAGTGCAAATGGCTTTACATATTTAATTGTCTATAATCTTCATGGATATAGTTTCAATTTGCATCTAGTGTTGTAGGATATGCTTCTACTTTGACTATATATGTTGTGATAGAGGTATTTATATGTAATCTCAATTTTATTTATTTTAATATAATCCCTATTGCCTATAAAAATGGGGGTTAAGTTAATCTACTATAACTTGATTGATTTCTAGTTTGAGGATGCATAAAAACCTATAGAGAGTTTTATGCTTATGTTCAATCAAAAAGTATAATTTGCTTTGTTTAGTGATTTCAAGATTTTGTGACTGTTGTGAGAATTTTGTTATCCACAAATCTTGTTGGAGAATAAGGAGGAGGATCAACATGTAGGTTACCCTCTTAAGAAGTGTTTACATCATAAATTGTAAAAATTTAAGATTATGCCATGTGTCTTTTTTTTTTTTTTTTGAAAAGATGGATGAGATGATGCCACATCAAATCTATTGTTTTGGGACCCTTAACATATCACTTGACACATGGAATGTGGAGTCCAAATAGATGAAGATTAGTTGTTTAATTGCTTATTTGAATTGAAGTGGACTTGTAATTGCTAAATTTAAGGAGATAAATCAATTAAGGGATTGAGTTGGTAGATAATAAGGACAGGTGATGAGATTTGGTTGAAGTTCTGACTCAGTCCACTGCAGAGTTGTCTATCTTTTTTAGGAAACCACCCATGTTGTGCAACTACCAAGTAGTGGGGAGTTTCAAGTTTAGAGGAAACAAACAAAAGTGAATATTTGATCATTCAACATATAGCCAGCTCTACACACAACCCAGAAACTACCTTTAACACTTTTAGATCTTGTTAGCAATTGCTCACTTTGGCTTATAGATTTCAGTTTTTAGCATAATTCTTAGTAGATTTAGGTTGTTTTCATCATTCAAATAGCCAAATTAGTTTGTGTAGTTGCCTTTGCAATTATTCTTTCACGTAATGAACAACAAGCTTTTTAATTTCTGTGAGATACTGTTCCTTTTGTAATGATATTCGATTAAGGTTTATGATAAGTAGTGTTTTTCTAAATGATTATTTATATGGAATTCACACTTCTTCTTGGTTTTTGACATGTTAGTTTAATCTCTATTCATATTAGTTTCATGATCATTCAAGATTAAATGTTTAATTTTATAGTAGGTTAATTTCTAATTCTATTTGTAGATTGTAGTTTAGTCCACCAATAAACATGCTTAGTTTAACTTAGATGCATCTTTCATTTGAAAGTTTACTTTGATTCACACTTCAATTAGTTCATCTAGGATCTGTTACCTTTAGTTTGCAGTAGTATTTAAGTCTTTAAAGTTGTCCAAGATAAATTTAGAAACCCATTCGATAGGAAGTCCTCCCTCCTTCTTATAAATAATAGCATCCTTCCCTCTTATAAATCGTTTAAAGGCACAAATTGTAGCTTTAAACCAATGTTCTTCCCATCGTTTGTAGAGAGATCGACTGTGAGGAAAGAGGGTCACTGAGAAAATTTTTTTTTTCTTACTTTACAAAAAAGCAACGGTGCACACCTCGCATCCAAATTTACCACGCATGGTGGCTTTCAAATTTTTGAGGAAAACAAGAAGAGAATTTTGTCATAACTCAAATTTTTAATAGGATTTTATTTTATTTTATTTTAACTAATATGTTGTTATCTTTTCTTTTATTGTTAGGTTTATGGGTAAAAAAAAAGGGGATTTCGCGAAGAGGATGGTAAAGAAAACGAGAAAAAGGACTCAATTGAAGAAATTAAAAGTTGGAGGGGTGAAGTTCATCAAAATGAATTTACAAACCCAAACCCAAAACCCGTTTAACCCAAACCCAAAAAAAAAAAAAAAGAAGAAGAAGAAGAAGGTGTCTGAACCTTCTCTTTCCCCATCAATTTGTTTTTTTTTTCCCGAAACCAACCCGCGCCCTGCGCCTCACCCCGGCCGTGCCCCGCGCCTCGCGCCCGGGCCCCTGCCCCGTGCCCTGCGACCCGACGACCCTGCGCCCCTACGCTCCTACGCCCTACATCCTTGCCCCAGATCCCCTGCTTGCTGCGCCTGCACGCTTCTGCTCCTACACTCGGCGCCCAGCGCCTGCACTTTCCCTTTTGCGCCCTTACGCCCCCTGCGGCACCGAGTCTGCACCCCGATCACTCCCAGATTCCCTTGCTCTGCGCCCCCTGCTGCGTTGACCTTGCTACTGCACCTTCGTCCTTGCAGCCAACCGAGCATGAGACAAACCTGTAAGATGACATCACACTCCAGCTTTCTTGGCTGTTCTGCAGGGCCAGTTTTGGCCTCACCCGATCAACGGTGGAAGGAAAAAGAAGAAAAATTGAAGGGTTTGGATGAGGAGTGAAGGAGGGAGTTTGGGTTTTGTTTGAGGGGGTATAAATAGGAAGGACCGGTAAAGAGAAGGAGAGTTCTCTTGGTTGTTCTTTTCAGTCTGAGTTTGGGATTGCCAGAGGTGATAGCAAGAGAAAGGAGATTGTTAAGCTCTTAAAGGAGTGTGTTTTTGGAAGCTGCGTTTCTGGATTTATCTTTGCTTTAGGTATTTTTCTTCAACAGAGGAGTTCTTCCGGGGAGGCAGTGAGGGGAATGATCTGGGCTTGATCCCGTGGGTGTGATCCCCCAGATCGGACTCTGATCTGTTACCCAGAAAGCTCCACCGTGTTTGTTTCTTTTATCCTCCTGTTTCTGATATCTGCTTTCATGATGTTAAGTTTGTATATGTTTTCCTGAAAATGAATGAGAATCTAAGTTTAACTAAGTTATTGTGTTTTGATGAATTTGTTCTTTCTTTGCTATTGGCGAATATGATTTTCTCATGACAAACCGTGTTCTTTCTTTTAAGAGTGATGAACTTTAATTGCAAGTCTCCTTCGTCATGTTTGATCTATTTTGGTTTATTTTGAGTAGCGGGTCGTGTTTCTGGGTTGGATCAACCTGACCCAATTCAAT